AGCATTTACCCATCATTCAGTCTTTAAGGTACACTATTGGTAGAATGTTCAGACATTTCTAACTGAACGTGCATTTTTCATAATAATAAAGACACTTTGAACTAAAGGCTTAAATGCAAATTAAATTTGTTTCAAAATAACAATGCAAATACAAATAGTGAGGTTAATGCCTGTGCAGTACTGTGCATTTAATGTCCAATCAAAAGTACTATGTTTATTTAATAATTTATTCAGTTTTACAATATATTGCTCAGGTGTCTAGATATAAGATAATCTATGTGTTTAATGAAGGGCAAAGTCAAAAGAACATAAGTGAAAAAACAGTTTCCAAAGAGTTTCCAAAACTGGGGTTCACAAATTTATCTAAAGATGTAGAGAAAATGAGACTATGCATGACCTGGTAGACAAACAGTACTTAAAGCTTTCACCTTTATGAGAAAATCAGGCTTCAGATGTGAAAAATCCAAGACAAGTCAACACTATGGGTCTGAAAGGATGTGTCGCTGTTAAGAAGATGATACTGAGAAAAAGAAACAAACAATAAAGAGCAAAAATTACAAAAATCATGTATCTTTAGTCCTGTTGGAAAAGCGTCTTGAGTTGCTTCTCATGAAGCTGCTTGAGAGAACGGCAAGAGTGTATGAAGCTGCATCAAGATAAATTTTAAAACATACAGTATTTTGAGTTGTTTAACACATTTTTGGCCTCTGCATAATTCAATATTTTTATATAGTCTTCACTATAATTCTAAAAAGAGAAAAACAGTCAAAATAAGGACAATTATGTTTTAGTTCATTTCAAATGATTTTGAAAAACAAGGCAACCTGACTGAAGTTTTTAGTAAAAAAAATGCAACATTGTTCTTCAGCTCATATTGTCTCTGGATATTTTTAATAAATAAATAAATAAATAAATAAATAAAGCAAGTCATTGTAAAGGATACATATTTTTTTAGATTTACTATTATTTTACCATTATCAACATCACATATAAATCTCAGAAGACTACATTATATGTAAGTTCTTTTACACAGTTTGGACTCTCCTCTGCACTTGACTCTTTAACGAAAACACAGCTGGTTTGTTTTCCTCTGACTGCCGTGTTGACCTCATATTCTCAGTGATGTCATCATGAGAATATCACACTGAGCCGTGTTCCAGCAGGCTGCTGCACTATGAAGCATGGAACTCTGGGAGATGCTGCAGATGATCTATGAATTCTCCTCATCGTCATACCCTGCACACCCTGGTACACTATTGTTCACAAATTATGTGTAAGGCAGCTGGGTGCTATGATAATCCCAGGATAACTGATGAGCCTTTGTGTGGCATTGGTAGCATGTGCTGTTTGTGAGCTAGTATGTGACAAAGAGGGAGTGTGTGGAGCAGAATGTAACGTTGATATTTCTGTGTGTCAGTATGCGGTGGTTAAATTGTATTTGTGTGTATGCTTGTGGATGTATAGTTTAATGGGTGTGGCTCACGGCCCTTATGTGTACGCTGAGAACCTTGGCTATGTTCTTTAAACTTTTAGGTCCCAAATGGAACCGAAAAGGGTCTTTGGAGCGATGCCTTAGAAGAGCTTTTGGTATCCTAAAAAAACTTTACATTGTAGATTGATTAAAGGGGAATTCCACTTTTTTAAACTTTTTTAAAGGTTTTTAAAATTTCTTTATAATTAAATGGTCAAGATGTAAACTGAGCCATTCAGAGCGGTCTGATGTGAAATGCTCTGTTCTAGAGAATCTTATTAACACTGGTAGCAAAAGGATCCAAAGTGTTTAAAACCTTTAAAAGCTTTCGTGGCAGAGAGGTACACACAAGGAGTTGTAAGGAAAGCTTTCTTTTTCAGATTTACCACTATTTTACCTTCATTAACATCACATATAAATCTCAGAAGATGTAGCAGGTTCACTGGTCATTTTAGATAGTAAACAGCAAAACAACTACATTTGAGTAGGTAGTTCAGCCCCTGGTTCGTATCACCACCACTATAAGGAAATCTGAGTTTCTTCACAATGAACCATTCACATCAAACCGCTCTGAATGTCTTTGTTTACAGCTCAATGACTGAAATACACAGAAATTTTGAAACATCTGTGAAATCCCCCTTCAAAGTGTGAAGAATCTTTTTAAAGCATAGTCTAAAGGTTCTACAGCAGTTAAAGGATTTACCTAGAATCGTACATCTAAACCAAGAACCACCTAGGGACCTTTATTTTTAAGTGCGGTAGCACAAGGCTAACCCCTGTGAGCTGTATTCAAGCTGCCTATCAAACTTGGGCATTGCTGTTATAATGTGTATGCGCCCCAAATCACATCACATCCATACTACACATCTGCATAACAAAAGAGAGTAAAGGTGGATAGAAGCATAAAAAATGTTTTACTTGAAGGACAGAAAATTGAAAGAAGATATCAATAAAGGACTGAGAGTGTCTACTTTAAATTATTCTGTCTTTTTGAAAGGCAAACAAAAGTTGCAGATGGAAATCACACGTGGGGTTGGGGGTCAATAATGCAACAGTGATAAAACAGCTTATTAGGTATCAGCAAACAATGTGGCCAGGAGAGCATGAAGACGCTGCATTTATTCAGCACCAGTCAAGCCTTACATTGGTTAATTACTGTCATATCACTGGGTGACACATCATTTGGTTTCTGTTTCAAGCAGAATTGCTACAAAGTCATCTTATTTCAGACTCTTATTTCCTATCAGTGAGATGATGATGATAGTGTTGTCATACTGAATGATGTCTGTTGCCTTTAAACCATCAATTGTAGCCATAGGCCAAACCTACAGGCCACAGCAGGCTAGAAAATAAAGGTGGTTGAAAAACAAACATAGTTTACATATAAAATTTAGACCTACAATTAATAGTATTTCCTGAGATTTGGATATTTTGTGAGTTATTTATAATGGAACAGGACACTTTTGATAAAGAACAAAGAGATGATCAATTTCTTTGATTCATTGTTTTTTTAGATCTTTCATCGATGCTTCAGTTTGATGTTTGCATGAGGACAGATAAAGTCACCATTCTCAAAGCAAATAAAAGTTCATGCTTTCTACAAATCAGGCTAAATGTGAGATGTAATTGATCATTAACTATTGAGAAAATACAAAAGAGTTTGACAATTTTTGTTCTGTTTGAGACACAAACACAATCTGCTCTGTTCTTTCCTCCACATGTGGCAATACTACTGTACATTTCAATGATAAATCCTATTAGCAATTCAGCTGAAGGACCAAGCACCACAATGAGACAGTAGTGCATCTCACAGCTGGCACGGACAGAGCGCTCTAGCCAGCCTCTGGAGAACAAACAGGAATTATGCCCCGAACAAAAGAAAATGTATGTATCAAAACTAATAAATAAATGCCAAGCACCAGCCTGCCACGTCAAACAATGGAGCGAATTAAAAATAGTTGCTTGATGCCATTGTTCTCTGGGCAGGGTCGGGTTATGTGCTTATGGCCGTATGAATGAGCAAGGCTGAGGATCACAGAGATGCTCTTGTCTGATACAGTGGTGCATGCCCTCCCCCAACTCACACACACATCTCACTATGATTCACACTCACTCTCATCTGTGCCCAACAGCGACCTGATGGCAAAGTTTAGAGTGGAAAAACTGCTGATCATAGCAAGTTTAAGAGCTTAGGTGGGGTCAGCTTTGGCCATTATCGAAGTCATGAAATCCTTGAATAATCCTTTCAATTTTTCTCTTGTTTTGTTAAACAGCTGCTGTTATTTTCAGCCAAATATTGTGTTACTAAGGAAAAAAAATAAACATCTGTGTATTAGAGTAACAATACTAAGTATCGTTGGAACTGGGCTACATCCTTTTAATGCCCCTCTTGATGAGGAAAGCTAAGAACCTTAGACTTACGATTGTTATTAACCTTAAAATATGATAAACATTAAACATGAATAAAAAAGGAATAATAAACACTGAACACTGAACAAAACCTCATATCTCCATTTTTGTCATTTTTCAGGTTTTGGCATTATTTGAATAATTTGAAAAATGCCTGTTGCCCTTTACATTGTGTGTAGATTTCATGTTAAGCGGACCAAAGAAACAGCCCAAAATGACTTGGAAAAAAGTCTGGTTCCATTGACTTACATTAAAAGTAAAGTATGTTTTTTCTTTCTGCTGTAAAGTTACCATTGTGGAGATAAAAGATTTTGTTCCGACAAACCTTGTATCTTACTCCAACGTTATAGTCAGTCATTTGTAGCTATTTGATAACTATAACAAAACATGTAAGTTATGTAGTTATGAAAGAGAGAAATACAGTGTGGGTCCATCGGGCTTTAAGGGGGGGGTCATAATAAGCGTGAAAACACATTTTTGCAATCACTGCCAGTTTGGTCTGAAAACTGACCCTGGTAGGTCATTCTAGGGTGGTCTGAATATGCTTGTTAAAGTTCTGACAAATGGCCCATTTTGAAAAGTTGTAACAGCATATATACAGCACTTATTCCAAAACAGTGAACCAACAAAAACAAAGCTGTGCAACCATATAGTAGTTGAACACATTCCAGAACTTAAAAACAGGAAATTCTTCCTAACGGTTTGGCTATCTGCACTGAGCACTGATGCTTGTCAACAGGCATGTGTGCTTTCATCAGCAAACAGCTGAAGAACTGTTCAAATGTGTCTATGTATCTCTATCTAAATAGTGCTTCTATACTATACTCTATAGCAAACAGCACAACTCCATCTAGTGGACAACACTGATCATACATTAAGGTCAAACAGAATTGTGCAAAAGAGTTACAGCATGGTAGAATCTATGTCCTCATTCGTATCTGTGACTGTGAGTTTCCTTTTTTAGTGATACTCAGGAGCTTTTCAGTTGGATAAATAATGATAATGGAAACCAGTGATGACATGGAGGGATTTTTGAAAGCTGAGAAGAAGTCAAACACTCCCTCTTTTAGGTTTCAGTTCCTCCTAAGCAAATTTTTAACTTTTGCCAAAGAGACAAAGCTTTAGACCGTGAGCTGTGCCGTAGAAAATAATGTAGAGCTGTATAATACAAATAGTAATTTAGTAAATTTAGCCATTTTAATGTTGTAATTATCTGTAAATTTAGCTCCAGCTTACAAATCCTGCACTGGCCTTTGCGTCGCACTTTACTGCAGCAGGTTTATTACAACATGAGAGAGACAGCTAGCCCAAGCTAACATCTCTTCACACAGGTAAAGAAGCTTTTTCCTCAAGTTTATTTTTTGTTGTAGCAGTACTATAGACCGTGTACAAACGTTTGGTTTTCCATTTCAACCTGTTCTGTCTTTTTCTACATACTTCTACCTCCTGCTTTCAGTTCACTTCCTCCAACAGGGCCAATTATAGCCTCATGACGAGGAAGTGCACTGTGTCACCACACATAAATAGATGATTTTTAATCATATCTTGCTCAACTGCACAGTTGTGTCTGAGTGCAGGTTCAAAACAAATGACTTAGTGTTGATGATGGATGAAACTTCTTCTTTGCAAGATCAAAACAGTGAACGTAGACAGGTTGTTGTCATGGATTCAGAGTCCCAACTGCTAGACCTGAGGACTGATGGCGAAAGAGGAAGCAGTAACACACATCCTGATGAACCTGAGCACCAACAGGAGACACCATTAGGTACTGGTCAGTGCTGTCTGTTATACAGAACGGTGTCTGTGAGAGTGTAAATTCTTTCATTTATCCGAATCCATTTTCTTCATGGCTGTAGGAGCTTCTCCAGGCTTCAGTGCCTCCTGTCTGACCACAGCTGAGCTTCAGCAGCACTGGAGGGCAGTGAAACAGGAGATTAGATGCATTAAACTGCTGTTTGAGATCCCATCTGCCCGTACCATAGAGCAAGCCTCATCCAGATACGTGGTGAGTAAATGGACCAAGCAGATGTATTCCTCCTCACTCTCATCATAAATGCACTTCTATTACAGCGATGCCTAATGGAACTGAACTGAATACTGTCAAAGTATTCCAAGCGCTTTTGCATCGTTTCTGTTCGGTCCATTCATCATGAAATGTTAAGAGGTTCTGGTACGTTACTGTCCCTGTCTTGTCTTGGACGTCTAAACATGCACTACTGTTCAAAAGTTTGGATTAATTTGCCATAACTTTCTTATTTTATGCACAATAATAACCTACACAGTACAATTTTTTTAACATTGTTATTACAAAGAGTTTTATTCAATAAAATGTGTTTTATTTCATGAATACTGTGAACAAGTAATATACTGTAATGTAATACAATATAAATAATATACTGTAATTATCTATCCGATTTTGTCACATTGTCTGTTTTGAGATTTGATCTTTACTTTTGAAATATGATGGCTTTTATAGATTAATTATAATATAACTTTATTCTCAATACTACACAACTTTCTCAGACGTTTTAGAATCTTTTACAGCTTCTCCTGCAGCAACCACAAAAGGTGTGAAAGCTGAATTTGAACAAAAGAAGCATATTAGAATAGTTTTTATGTCTTTATTTGCTAACAAATTGGTTTTAATTAGTTAATTAATTAGTTTTATATTTTAAAATACTTAAACTTTTGAACAGCGATTCCAAACTTTTGAATAGCAGGGTACTAAGTATATCACTCTACAATGATTGTACACACATTCATACATGCGTTCTCCACTAATATTGTGGTCTTTTGTAGTTGTAGATTTGCTTAACATCATACTGCAGTTTTCCCTCAGAGACTTTACAAGTGTGTATTTAAACAGACGTTTTGCTGATAAGTCTGCTCAAAATAAAGCTGCAGATTTTATCCTTGACCGTTTTTCAGTGCAGCCAAAAGCTACAGTTAAATACCTTGATTTAACACTGGATGCTTGTTTATCATTTGTTTTATTACCTGACTCAGACACATGCTAACTGTATAAGATGCTGAGATCAATTTTTTGTTCATAACAACTATATTAGACTACTGTAATGTGTTACTGGTTGTTCTGTCTCTCTCAATTGACTTTAACTAGCTCAGAACGCAGCAGCTTGTGTGTGTTCCAGGAAAATTTGAGCACATTTCTCTTTTTTTTAGTGTCCACTGGCTTCTCGTTAAGTTCTGTTTTGACAACAAGGTCTTGCTCATGACATTTAAAGCCCTTGATGGTCCAGCATATCTGACTGATCTGTTGAAGGGTTATACCCCATTCAGACCCACTTCACTCAGCTGAAGGAGTCTTACTGCAAACACCTAGGATCACTTACAGCTCAGTTGGTGGAAGATTATTTTCCTATAAATCTCCTGAACTCTTGAATAGAAAAATGCTAGGAAGCTTGATAGGTGTTTTAAAATCCTGATGAAAACCTTCGTTTAGGCTAGCATACGCCAGGATGAATTACGGCTCGTTTTGTAATTATGCTGTTATTTTCATTCAAAGCTTCATGATTTTACTTCTATTTCTGTGTAAGGATTCAAGATTCACGATTTATTTAGTTATATAGCACTTTTTACAATGAGTGGTATACAACTAAAGCAGCTTTACAGGAAATCTGGGTGTGAGCCCCAAACGAGCAAGCCAAGTATGACAGTGACAAGGAAAAATTCCCTAAGAGCAAGAGGAAGAAACCTTGAGAGGAACTAAGACTCAAAAAGGGGAATCCATCCTCCCCTTGTTGACACCAGATAACAAAACAATAATAAATCAGAAACAATGAAAATAAAGAATATAACAATGAATATACAATAGTGAAAACAGAATATAGAAATATAGAATAAGTATAAAGAAAAGAAACCAGACTGTCACTGACAGAAGTATTTAGATTAACCAGTGATAACCAATGACTACTGTTAGAAGGTTATCAGAATAACAAATAAGAAACATGTCAATGAAAACCTGTATAATACAAATACTAATTTAGTAAATTTAGCCATTTTATGTTGTAATTATCTGTAAATTTAGCTCCAGCTTACAAATCCTGCACTGGCCTTTGCGTCGCACTTTACTGCAGCAGGTTTATTACAGCGTTGCATGTCGCAGTGAAAATGAGAGTTAAGTCCATCAACATAAGTGACTACTGTTTGAAGCCTGTCTTGGTGATAAGTTAGTCTGAATATGTAAAGAACTAAGTATATTGTGAGTCAGATAAAACATGTGTGTGATGTCATGTGAGTTTTTGTAACTCAACTTTGAAATGCTGTAACCAAAATAAAAAGTGCATTTATTATTATTATTATTAGTAGTAGTAGTAGTAGTAGTAGTAGTAGCAGTAGTAGCAGTAGTAGTATTTAGTAGTTATTCAGTTTGTGCTATCTATTACAGGTCTACCAGATTGTGGTGATCAGGTCAGGCAGTTATGACCGCGAGCGTGTGGCCATTGAGCGCCGCTATTCAGACTTCCTCCACCTCCACCAGCAGCTGCTGCAGGACTTCAGCGAGGAGCTGGAGGAGGTCCCGCTGCCCAGAAAGAAGTTGGTGGGGAATTTCTCAGAGGAGAACATTGCTGAGCGGCGTGTGGCCCTCTGTGACTACCTCACCCAGCTCTACGCCCGCCGCTACATACGGCGCACCCCCGCTTTTATAGCATTCTTCACACACCCTGAGCTGAAGACTGCCTACGATCTGCTCCGTGGAGGCCGTTTCTCTCAAGCCCTGGAGGTCCTGCAGAGAGCACTAGTGCTTCAGAGAAAACTGTCCACTCATGACCCATCTCTGCTTGTCCCCACCCTGTGTGCACTGGTGGTGTGCCAGAGGGACCTGGGGGATTTTCATGATGCTTTCCAGACGGGCCACATGGCCCTGCCAGCAGTGAGGCGTTATGGGCTAAGCCGCTATCGCGCCCCTTTGCTGGAGGCCATGGTGGATCTGGGTTACAAGTTAGAGCACCCCGTGGCTCAGTTACAAGAGGAACTGATCAAAGTGCAGAACTCACCACATGGACCAGTGTCACTGATGTCGCTGAAGGAGCTTGTGGTACAAGAGTTTACGTGATCAACCAACTTCATAATAAACATGTTTGACAAGGTCTTCAACATACTGGTCTTGCTATAGTTACTAAATAAATCAATTACCAGTGTCTCTGAATTTCAGTAACCTATTATCTCACCTTTATTTTGTGTATATATTGGTGCATAAATGATAATGAACTGGCAAAAGCAATTGCTTTGTCCATATTCTTTTATAGAAATATCCATGCCACACAACAGCATTTCTGTTGTTACTGCATATTGCAATTATTTATAACTTACATGCTTTGTTTCCCATTCACAGTCTTTTGAACTAAATACACACTAAACATTGTGATGCTTTCACTGAAGCATCTCATAATAAGGATAAAGGCAAAACACTGGGATATTTAACCTGGTCATAGACTGAAAAGGATCACACACAGAATCACACATTAAGAACTTGCTTTAGTATTATAACTATAGCAGTTTACAGAAAGTACAGTACAACAAAAAAAAACCCATGGGTCTAACTCCCATATACAGACTAGTGTCATTTTACATAGGACTAAGCTTAAAGCTACAAATAGCAATGCAATCCCATGTAGTGATTTATAATATCTGTCTAAAGTACTGGGACACACCTCTTAATCAGTGAATTCAGGTGTTTCATTTAGTCTCACTGCCACAGGTGTATAAAATCAAGCACCTAGCCATGCAGTCTGCCTTTAAAAACATTTGTGAAAGAATGATTTGTTCTAAAGAGCTCACTGAATTCAAGCATGGTACTGTAATAGAATGTCACTGTTGCAACAGGTCAGTTCGCAATATTTTTTCCCCACCAAGTGCTGAGGTGCACAGCGCATAAAAGTCACCAACTCCTTACATCGCCAAGCACAATCCCAAGCGTCAGATGGAGTGGTGTAAAGCACACCGCCCCTGGACTCTGGAGCAGCGGAAATGTATTCTGTGGAGTCTGGCAGCTTGGTGGACGAGTCTGGGTTTGGCAAATGCCAGGAGAATGTTAGCTGCCTGACTGCATTGTGCCAACTGTAAAGTTTGGAGGAGGAGGGATAATGCTATGGGGTTGTTTTCAGTCATTGGCCTAGGTTCCAGTGAAGGGAAATCGTAATGCTTCCACAGACCAGGACATTTTGGACAACCGATTCCAACTTTGTGGGAACAGTTTGGGGAAGGCCTTTTCTGTTCCAGCATGACTGAGCCCCCTTGCACAAAGCAAGGTCCATAAAGGCATGGCTGGATGAATTTGGTTTAAAGAATTTGACAGGCCCGCACAGAGCCCTGACCTCAACCCCATCAAACACCTTTGGGATGAACTGTGACAGAGATTGTGAGCCAGGCCCTCTCGTCCAACATCATGTCTGTCCTCACAAATGCTCTTCTGGATGAAAGGGCAAAAATTCCCACAGACACACATGAAAATCTTGTCGAAAGTTTCCCAGAAGAGTGGAAGCTGTTATAGCTGCCAAAGGGGGACCAACTTCGTATTAATGATGGATTTAGAATCGGGCGTCATAAAAGCTCCTGTAGGTGTAATGTGTATTTAAAATCAATAGAAGAAACTATGCAAACAAAAATAACGGAAAATCACATCATTATTATCATTATGAAGAAATAAAAAATGTGTCATCTCTTCCAGAGATCACTTTCATGCTGTGTACACGCCTTAGAATGCATCAGACATGAGCAGTCGCTACACGGTCGAGCGTGCGATTAATCGCGTCTTTTAGGCAAACCTGAACATGCGCAGTGTTTTCTGTATTGATGAGCAGCATGTTGGCATGAATGCAGTTAGCTTAGCCTGCTATTGCCGAAACACGAAGCGCACAAGCAGTCTTAGGTACTTTGGTTAAGCTTGACTGCAGTGAAACAGAGTCAAAAAGAATTAAAATGGCAAACGACGGTTCAACGAAACTATCTAAAAACCTCCTGCGAATGAAGGTGAGTTTCTGTTGTGCGAGTCTGGAGTTTAACTAGCTCAGTTACTGCCGGCCAGCAAAGTCAGGGTTTATGAGAGTTTGTGGTTAGCATTTGGAAATCTATAGGAGAATGGTTACTTATTGAGTGTCTGACCTTTTCATCTCAAAGACAATAAATAATCTCGATATATAGTCACTCGGAATATTGGCTGATTTTAGGCTGCAGTCTCGTGGTGGCGACTCCATACTGTTACTTTAATGTGCACACCTAAAAAAGATGGTTTTTCAAGGGTTCTTTACTAAAAGCAATGGTTATGTTTAGAACCACGAGTTATATATAGAACCATTTCATGCTTAAAAGATTCTTTGCATTGTGAAATTGTTTTTTAGATTAATGGAGAATGTGTTGTATATGGTTCTATATAGCACCATTCCCTTCATTAAAGGACCCTTAAAGAACGCTCTTTAAGTGTGTAATAGAGTGGCAGCTGATGCTGCAAATCTCTTCAGCATCTATTAGTGTACTGCTTCAGATTTAAAGGTTCTCAAAGCAGAAATGCTGTATTTTCTTGTCTAGTTTCACACTTGCATGACCAGGTTTGTTTCCTCACAGTTTATGCAAAGAGGCCTTGATGCAGAGGTGAAGAAACAGCTTGAGGAAGAAGAGAAGAGAATTATAAGTGATGAACACTGGTATTTGGACCTGCCTGAACTTAAAGCCAAAGAGTACGATTTCACATTTTGCACACGATGGTCTTGCAGTAATCACATTTTGTTCTCTTACTTGTATACACCCTTCCTAGTTTCTACACCATTGTGAACATTCATACACCACTGGGTCACACTGGTGCATTTCAGAGCACTTGTTTTATATAGGTTAAAGTGAATGTGTATCTCCTCATATAGAAGCTACATTGTTGAAGAAAGAAGTTATATTCCATGTGAAGACTTGGTTTATGGAAGAATGTCATTTAAGGGATTCAATCCTGAAGTTGAGGTAATCCTGTTTACATGGTCCCATTTTTCTTTTTTGTTTGTGATATTCATGCTATTTCTTATTCACTGTCTTGTTGAATCCTATGCAGAAGCTGATGGTTCTAATGAACGCTCCAAAAGAGAAAGATGAGGAAGAAGAGGAAGAAGACATGACGAGAATGGACACAGATATTACAGATGAGGACATGGCTAGAAGGTAGGTGTAGAAAAGTATTGTTGTACGGTTGCTTTAAGGCAGTTACCTTGCACTGGTTTTGAATGTATAAGCCATTTTTTTTTTTTTAACAGATATGGAAGCTTGGTTGAGAGCATGAAAAGAAGATTTGCCAAGAAAAGGGAACGCTCCTCTCTCCAGGACAGTCAGGAAGATGTCAACCATAACGTTGTACCATCACAACCAAAGAAAGCTTTCTTAAAGCCCAAGGACTGATACATTTTATTGGGCCGTTACAGTGTACAAAGTGGTCTTTTTTTATTCACAGAGGATTTTAAGGACTTTGTGTACAGTTTTTTATGTTATTACATTCATTTGTAGTAACAAAAATGCTGTAAAATGGCAGCGGAAACCTGGATGTCATACATCCCTATTTTTAAGTGAAAAGCACATCTTGAAAGTTGTACATTCTAAACATTCTGAATTTGTGTGAGCTTCCTTTTAATGAATGTGCCACGTAATCACAGATGGTTACAGTTAAAATCTTAAATCCAGTACACTTGATTTTCATTTATGTTGGGTGTATCTATTGAACAGACTTGCAGTATTTTCATTGTTTGGTGTTGCATGGTAGTGGTGTATTGTCCTAAAGTGATGGGATAACATGATAAAATTTAACATTTACGTCCAGTCCATATCAAGTGTGCATTATTTAGAAACCACTCCTGCTGGTTTTAATCTGTTATACCTTATCATTTTTGAAAAAATGACATCAAATAGCCAGGTTGGGCAGAACCTGTGGAGGAGTGGAAGAGCCACAGCGGTGGATCCTGGATGATAGAAGGCTCTGGGTCTTTCAGAGAGCAGGGCATGCGTTATAGCATCCAGAACAGGTGTGGTATCGGTGCTGCCTGCTGTAGTCATCCTGCTTAAACGGCGCTGCAAGGAGCGGATGTACTCTTCCCCATATGCCTCTGTTACTTCTTGGGCCAGAGTGCTGAGGATCTCCTTCTCAATTTTACTCCATTCCTCTTCATTGCCTAGAATGTCTGATGGGTAAAATTTTTAAGATAAAATATAAAAGTGTGTTTTGTTGAGTATCTTGGTTTTAAAAAAATCACACTATTAACAAACCATAAAGGTAGTGATGGGTCATGGACAAAAATGAAACATGAAGTGGTTATATTGTAGGTGTGATAAACAAAAATGTGAAATATTGCTGTCAGTTTTAATATCCAGCACTCCAACACTCACTAGTCTTGAAACCCCCAGGCTGAATAATGGCCACTTTGACTCCCCATTGGGACAGTTCCTGCCTCAGCGCTCCTGAGTAGGCAATCACAGCTGCTTTAGATGATCCGTATGCAGCAAAGCCAGGGAAAGGAACCTCTCCTAAAGAATGAATGAACTGTCAATACAGGGTGCATTTTCCCAGGTTTTTTCTGGCAGCTTCAAAGCATGATTAATCATTGAACTTTTCTGTAGAGGTCAAAACTTGGGGCTGCCCTCTTTGACCCAGCTTGAGCTTAATCCTAGACTAGAAAGTAGGGATGCACAATGATATCAGAATAACATCAGTATTGGTAGACATTTGGTTTAAAAATATAACAACATCACATGTTTACATTTGATCGACAATTTAAGCCTGTATTTGCTGATTTGTTTATATTAAGCCAGAAGAGCATAATGTTTAAGCTACACTGGAATACAGTACTGCAATGTCTGCACTTTTATTCAATTTAATGCCTTTGTAACTCTAAAGGTATAAATGTTATATATTTATAGTACTAATCTAGGTGGATTTAGTCCACCTATTTAGACATTTTATAAATGTGAAGTTACAATTTAGTCCTACATAAGGCACCATATAAACTAGCCCATAAAAACAAATAAAGTAAAAAATAAACCTGATAACACAGCATTGCATCAGAAATGCCCTGTAACCCAGACTCCTGA